CTAAAGATGGTACTGTAATTAAGAAGTTGCAACTCGGTAAGTTGCAACTTGGGTTGCAACTGGTTGCAACTTCTTGTAAAATTCATTTTAATATAAAATTCATAAATAGTTGCAACTCAATGAGTTGCAACTTACGTTGCAACTAGTTAAAAATTTTAAAATTAATTACAGCTTCATCTTTAATTTCGACTAAAGCTGAAGAAGCCACTATCGATTCACGTTGAAATTTTGATGGGAGCTGAATGTCTCCGTATCATTTTCGCAATTCATCAATATTTATTTGATCTATAATTTGGAAATTTAAATGAGTATCAAATGTATATAATATGATATAATAAACTTATGTTCTGGGATTTTTGGCTTCTCATCGGATTTATGTTTCGTTTGTTGTACTTGTTACACTTGTTGTACTTGTTGCGCTTGTTTCTTTGGATATTTACTTGGTTCTTTTCTTTTCATACTATTAAAAAAAATGTAAAAGTTGATTTGGTAAATGCGAAAATTGAATTTATATAATTAATTAATAAATTATACATGCATGCAAGAAATTATTATGCAAGAAAATATTAAATAATTATTTTTTTTAAGTGTTTTATTTTTTTGAAAATAAGAAAATGTTTAAGGAAAATAATAAGATGTTAAGGAATTGCTACTTCCTAAAGAAAGTCGATTGAAAAATTATTATTTTTATATGTCTCAAATCAACTAATCCTTACTCATTCAATTTTGATATACTTTACGATAAAATATTCTTGCGATATTGCTCATTCGACTTCCAGTTTCTCAATCAACCTAAATTCTAACTTATTCGACTTAAAATTAGTTTTTTTTTAACAAAAATATCCTTTCGATATTATTCATATAAAATAAAATTCAGTTTTTAGTTGAAATTTTAGCTAGTTGTGGTTGAATTTAATAATATTTCTTTTATTTTTTTATTTTATTTTTTTTTACTAAAAAAACATCTTTAAGAAAAATTTTTATCTAACATGATAAAATTTTAATTTCTTACCCGAATTTGTAATGAAATAAATAAGCTTAAATAAACTTTTAATATAATTGAATCAGAAACTTTAAATAAAGTATTATTTGATAGATAATACATGCAACAAACAATACGTAAATCGTCCTTATACTGTAAAATAATATTAAGAATATAAAACAATACAAATATGAAGATTATTCTTATAAATTGCTCTATTTTGAATTTTTTTTCTTTTTTTTTTCTCTTTCAAAAATTTATCAAAATGAGCAAAAAAAGGTCAATTACTAGCATATTGATGATGAAGAAAATAACTAAAGTCAATCTTTTACTGCGGCTTTTTATAGAAGAAACAGATTGATTACTAGTTTAATTAATGAAAAAATATCTTCTACTTCTAGAACATCATCATCGCATAATGTAATAACAAGATATCGATATTTACAAAACTTAATTTCAAATGCATTTCATCAACTCGAAATTCAGGAAGAAACAGGAGAGTCTTCAACAACATCAGCTTCAGATAGACGAATTATTGAACATAAATCAGAAGATGATGATTATCAGAAGGATTATGATTATACATTTGTATCTCGAAAACGTATAAATAGGTACAAAAATCGACCAAAACCCAACATAAATCCTCCTGATGACAATTCTGAACAAAATGTTGATAAGCCTTCTGAATCTTCTGAATATACCATTAAAGAAGATAATATTTTGGGTAGTAGTAGTAATAAAAATGAATCAGATGATGGAGAATCAGGTGATGATGAAGATTACGAAATATTTGAGAATTATACACCAACTGATTATGAGTCATTTCAGGACCCACCAGATTTAGGATCAACAATTGATAACTGAATTTTATGGATTTTGCTCTAGATTATGACATTTTGGACAAGATTCAACATAACGGAGACAGCAACTGAGGCTTTGATAAAATTTATGAAATTAGTCTTGACAGAAATCGGTAGAGATGATTTTA